TATGATCAGATGCTGGCAGAGTCCTTGGAGTACTACTGACAAGCACAGTAGGTGTGTGTGTGTTGCTGTGTTAAGTGTAAAGGCGACTATTCAATAAAGATATAAGTACAGTTGACTCTGTGTCAGCTGCATTTGTTTGTTGATTTTATCTGTATCTGTATTTCTCCCAAGGTGGGAAGCATCTTTCATCCTTCCCCTTTTGGCACGAGATAATTCTCTCTGTGTGAAGACAGACTAAAACAACTGGTGAGAGCTTTAACCAGAGACAGATCTACACTAACCCACCATACCAGGCATATGATGGATCAGCCCAGAGATGGGCCTGACATCTCTGGGCAGACCCCACCCAGCTGCTGTAGGGATGGGAGAGAGTCCCAATACTCAGTGGTTTGGTGCCACTGGCCAGCCACCCTCTGGTCCTTGATGTTGCCACAGTCTTCTGCCATAGCATGGATTCTACAATTGGTCATCACCTGCAGTGACATTGGCCAGGGAGACGAGGGAGGGTGAAGGGGAGAAATCATCCCCTCCTCTCTCCCTCTCTTTCCAGAGCACCCCATTGCCCTGGCCAACGTCACGGAAGGTGACTGCAGTAGGACCCATGTCATGTCTGGAGACTGCCACAGCATAGTAGGAAAAAAGGATATGCTAAGTGACATCCCATGTCCTTGGCCCACCTGACCCCAGGAAATGTGGGATGACAGTGAGGACAGTTGTAGCTAATTCTGTTTAGATGGGCCCAAGGCTGTAGGGTACTATGAATTCTGGATCAAAATTTGGAGTATCCTTAACTCTGGTTAACATTAAGGTGGTTTTGTTCTGTTACCCCAGAGTTCATCCAGGCCTACTGTGTTTCTTTCTTCTCCCTCAATAGCTTGTTGGTTTCAGGCCCAGCTACCTGCACTGCAGTGTACTAGCTCAGGATGTAGCCTTTCAGCTTTTTGAGAAAGTCTGGCTGGCATAAGTGTGTGGTTACAGCAAAAGCAGCCCAGCAGTTGCCTTATCTGGAAAGAACCTGTATATAGTCCTTTGGTGTTCCTGTGCTCCTTTTTTACTAAGCAAGTAGGACATGCATCACAGATGGCTGCAGGGAGAACTGTTTCTGCACTCTGGCTTCCAGATAGTGTTCCAGAACACTTCATTCCTTCTGCTCGCCCATCATTGTGGTAGTAAATCTGTGTGCACAGAGCATGCCCTGCACTTCATAATGACACCCTTTAAAAAAAAGACCTGCGTAGTGCGTACATTTTTGTTAACATTTTCATTTCCCAAAGACTGAAGATCCCTCCCTCTTGTGGGAGTATGCTGTCATTTGATTAGATATGGTATCTAGAGAACTGAGTTCACTATTAACATTTATGTGGTATGTGTGTCCTTGTGTGTTTAAAAGAATAAAACCAAATGCTTTCAGACTTCAAATCTGGAACACAGAGATAACATAGGGAGGAAGAAAAGGAATGGAAATATGATCACCAATTTTGGGGTCATTATTTTATATTTTATATGCCATATATAAACAAATATAAACAAATATTTCGCATATAAAGCATATACCAACATACCAAGCATATACCAAATTAGTAAAATTGCAGTCAATCAGTTTTTTAAAATTAAATGTTTACTTAGGTGTGTACTTTCCAGATAATACTCAAGTAGACACTTTTTATTTTTAATTTTTACATTGTATGTTATTTACACTGTTCTGGGATATTTTGGGCCTTTGGGGAACTCAGCTATAGGGGGAATCCTGATGGTCAGAAAATTGGGGCATGAGGTTTTTTTTCTCATTCTACCTCTGACTTTCTTTGGGCATTTGGCAGTGTGAAAATAAAGAGGAGAGTGGCTCTGCTTGCTAGAGCCCTGGTCAATATCAGATCTCAAGGTCAATCCATCCTCTCTCTTCCTGCCCGTATTGGATCTTTCAAAATTTCTTTCTCGATTAAGCTTTTTTGGGGACGGAAAGTCTTTTTTCTCATAGCATGCACTGTACATCCATGGCCCAATTTCTCAATGACCCCCCCCTCCCCCGATTTTATTTATTTATTTATTTACTTACTTTTCTCCACAGTTGCATTGCATATGCTACATATTTTGGTTGCATTATAATTCAATACAGTGGTGTCCTTCTCTCCCCCCCCCCCCCATCTTCTCTGCTAACTTCCTGTTTCCTGGACAAAAGATGATATTGCTTTGAGAATGTATGGTATCTTCCAAGATAGCAACTCTAGATTGGATCCTCTGTCTAATTGTTGCTACTAGATAGCAATTACAATTATTACTGCTTTTATTTATCAACCAAGGGCATGACAAGAAGATGGAAAGACTTGAGTCCTTATATCGGGAGAAAGGCAGACTAAAAATAAAACAAAGGGCTGTTATTTTCTCAATCAGGGTGCCTGCTGCTGTCTGTATTAGACTGAAAAACTCCCACAGTTTATCTCTGAACCTAGGAATCAAAGAGAAGCTGGAGCAAAATACCCAATAATTTGGAACCATTGTGTAAATAATAGATTTTCTTTCAGCTTTGAGAGGGTCAGCTTTGATACAGTCTTATTTAGGAAAAGATGCAGTTAAGAATGATCCAAAAAATGCTTTTTTTCCATCCATGTACTTGGATGAAAAAAGAAAAGGATATAGGAGGTAGTTTGCAACATTAGCTTAACCGGTGTCATTGGTGTTCAATTTCTGCTTTTTCAGCATAGCCTTGAAGTCATAAGAAGACCTTTGTTGGATCAGACAGAAGTTGTCTGTATTCCAGCAGTATACCTTTTCTCCAACTGGCTAGTCAGATGCCTCTGGGAAGCCTATAAGTAACATAGCAATTGCTATTCAGATGATCAGAGACCTCTAATCCAAAAGCATCCTAGTGGTTGTCTTGGTCATATATTCAGGATGTTCATTTCATAGTTTCACTAGATTTGTCATTTAATCCTGGAACAAATTAGTGAGTAATCAAAAGTATGCAGTCAGGATCAGTTACCAGCCATGAGATAGAGCTTGTATAAAGTTGTGAAGCTCCATTTGTCTACTATAGAAGTGTGGGTAGGTGGGAAACAAGGCTATGAAAGAAGAAAGAGCCAGCTTTCTTGAAAATGAGTTCTAGTTTCCCGCTTGGGGAAAAAAGGGGAAGGGGAGGCTTTTGAAAAACTTTATACAATGGACCTCAGTTTCAAGCACACCTTTCTTCCTTTCTAACTGAGGGAAGGCTAAGTTATAGGTGGCAAACCATTACCTGTGCTCCTAGACTGCCCAATCCTTATGTAGAGTGAAGCTGAAAGATTTGTGATAAGGATGGGCGGAAGGCATTATTTATCATTAACACATTTTTATCCTCATCACTTGTATTATAGAATCATAGAGTTGGAAGAGACCTCATGGGCCATCCTGTCCAACCTCCTGCCAAGAAGCAGGAATAATACATTAAAAGCACCCCCGACAGATGGCCATCCAGCCTTAGTTGAAAAGCCTCCAAAGAAGGAGCCTCCACCACACTCCAGGGCAGAGAGTTAGATGCCTCTGGGAATCCTATAAGTAACATAGCAACTGCTATTCAGATGATCAGAGACCTCTAATCCAAAGGCATCCTAGTGGTTGCCTTGGTCATATATTCAGGATGTTAATTTCATAGTTTCACTAGATTTGTCATTTAATCCTGGAACAAATGTAGTGAGGAAACAAAACTGCTGAACATTCATATAACGTATCACTATACTCTATAATGTCACTAGAATTATTTCTGCCTCAGAACTTGACTAACCTCTAGTTCCTATCTAACCTCCTGGCTAAACTTTATTCTTCAGTTGATCTCAACTGATGAACATAATCACACTTTCTAATGACAGTAAACTTTTCAGCCAATCAGCATTCCATTGCTCTTATCCCCTCCCAACAGATTACTTACATTAATTTCACTACTATGCATATAATACATAACAATATTTTTTCTCTAATATGTCTTCAAGGTGATATTTACTGAACTCCAGCACATCACCACAAAGAACTCCTATCCTCACTGGAGATTCCAGTTAATTTGCAACACCAAGTCTGGATGACTGGAAAACATTCATACTCAAAAACAATACTCAAAAAACAGGGGAATTCCAGTCAGGAAACAATCAGGGTCAGCTAAGACCTCCCAATTAAATATTCCCTCAGGCAGTAAGAAGCCAGACCTTGAAGCTGCAAGGCTATTTAATTCTAATCACGGTGGTCAATTGAAACATTCTCATCTGCCTCAAACAGACAAGAGTTCCTGGACATTCCACAGATAGATAAACCCCACTTGTTCTAGTTTACAACAGACCTCACAACCTCTGAGGATGCCTGCCACAGCAACTCAGTGATTCTAACCAAAAAGCCTTTGACAATACAGTCTGCAGGTGGTTTTCAGGGGAGTGGAGGCTATAAGAAGTCCTTTACATGGGGTAAAATCTTTTAACTCAGTTTCACTCCACATTTGTTGAAATCAGGGAATGTTCCAGATATTTGCTGAAACTCTGAAGCAGCCTCACACATGGAAATTCATGTGTCCTAAACCATTCCAGCTGTTCACACATGCCAGGTCCATTATTCCATTTACCAAATACTACATGGCACAGGGAAAGGCGGGTGACACTTACCTGTGTTGTTGTTTGTCACCAAGGCAGTAGCTATGGAATGCCTTTGCTGATCTTAACAAAGGAGTTGGCACAACCAGGGAAAAGGAAGGGATGACCACCTTATTTTACCATGTCACATGGGCGCCTTTGCTGATTTGGCACAGTTACAAAGACACTCACATGTAAACAATTCTGAAAAGATTGTGAGGAAGAATCAAAATTCAAAGTTGAGATTAGTTCACTTATGGCTGGTTAAGGTACTTTCATAGGGGTGGGCTCATCACATAAATTTGTTCTGTATTCCTTCAGTTCTGTCAAATTTTGTAAGGTAGATAATGTAGTCTTTTCCTAATTCTTCCATTATTTCTTTTCCTACTATTTTTTATTTGTTTTTTTTCCCAGGTTATCGTGGAAAAGGCACCCAAAGCTAGAGTACCTGATTTGGACAAGAGGAAGTATCTTGTTCCATCTGATCTGACAGGTAAATTAGCCTTGATCCATTTTTTTTCTCATTGCATTCTTCAAAGAATCCTTTTAAAAAGCTCTTTCTAGAAAAAGGTGCAGGAAATTTCCATCCTGACCAAGGCTGCATTTACGCCACCTAAAAGTATATATATATGACTTAAGTGCTACTCTGGATACCATGAGCCTGCTTGAATCCTTTTTGGAGTCCAGATGGCTGGCTGGACCAATAACAAATTGAGGCTGTTGCCATTTTGCTAAGCAAAAACAGCTGCCTTGCAGAGCCTTCTTGGTGACATTGCATTTGCTGAGGTAAAAACAGGGTTCCCAGCCATATGATCAGCAGAAGTGACATCACCAACAAGGCTCTGCCAGAGAGCTACTTTTAGCCATGAACACAGCAGTGGGTCTTTTTGATGTGTGCACTCAAGATCACCCCAAATCCAACTTGATCCAGTTGTCCACACATCAAAAACGCCAAGGTCACTCTGGAGTTTTCTGAAAGCTCTGAAATAATTCGCAGTTCTTCATGGGCCGAATTAATGGCTAGAAGCAATGTTTCTTCAGTGAAACCGGTAAGTCATGTGTATTGCTTGTAGCACTTAAAAGATTTCATTTATTTAGCCCATGGAGACATGACCTAAGAAAGGTTTTTATGTCACTTATTCTTTGCAGCACAGGAAAAGAAACACTGGTGAACTGATACTAATGCAGTAGTTCATAACACTTTTAGTTTAACATGCTAAATCAAGCATCACTAGCCTTTTTGAAAAACAGTTAAAAGTTGTCAGCATTCTGATTCGTTCACTACTAGGGATCAGAATAGAGACTGCAATATCTCTGTCTGCTTATCCCACCATGGAAGCAAATAATAAACTTGAAGCTGGTTTGTGGCAATGTCTTTGAAGAAAACTGTAAAATGTGTAAATTTAAAATGCAATTTTTGTAAACCTAATAATTAAACAAGACAGACAAAATATGATGGCACACCAGGAAGATCTAATGAGAAACTAAATGTGTATGGCTATTTTCCCAGTGACCATCGGTATGCCCTAAATTACTTTAATTCCCCCAAAATAAAACTCTACAAACAAGATTAAATTCAACAATTGTTTACTGAATAATCAAGGTATAAAAGTACAGTTTGATTATGATGGTGTAACTCTGAGGTAAAAAACAACTATAATTTCTACGAGGTAAGTACTCTATGGCATGTACTATCTATTCTATATAACATTTACTATAATCTATGGGGCATGTATATCTATAAGGCAAATATAAACTATCTATCTATGAAACATGTATTATCTATGAACTATGGCAAATATTATCTATTCTTTATTACAAATACTCTAAGGCAAATATAACTATTCTTTATTACATGTATTATCTATGAACTCTATCTATAAGGCAAATATTATCTATTCTATGGCAAATATGTGATAAGGATGGCCTGTTCAAATTGCTAGGCCAGACCAGACACTATCTGGCTAACTAACTTCAAGCTATGACCAACAGAGAATGCCATAAGAAGTTCTATTTCCAGCCCATTCTGGCTCTGAGTCAGAATGGGCTGCACCAACTGACCTTGGCCTCTAGGGGAAACCTAAGCTTCTCCCCTATACTTGGCAAAATGGAACAGTCCAACAGGCAAACAGGGAAATAAACAGGCCGAGACTTCACACAAAACATTTTAGCACAGTAGTGAAGCAATAGAGAGCCATAAAAAAAATACAGATTTGTGTGTGTGTGTCAGGAGCGACTTGAGAAACTGCAAGTTGCTTCTGAGGTGAGAGAATTGGCTATTACCCAGGGGACACCCAGATGTTTTACCATTCTGTGGGAGGCTTCTTTCATGTCCCCGCATGAAAAGCTGTAGCTGACAGACAGGAGCTCACCCCACTCTCTGAATTCGAACTGCTGACCTTTTGGTCAGAAGTCCTGTCAGCACAACGATTTAACCCAGTGGTTCTCAAACTAAGGCCCGGGGGCCAGATACGGCCTCCAAGGTCATTTACCCAGCCCTCGCTCAGGGTCAACCTAAGTATGAAATGACTTGAAAGCACACAACAACAATCCTATCTCATCAGCCAAAAGCAGGCCCACACTTCCCATTGAAATACTAATAAGTTCATATTTGTTAAAATTGTTCTTCATTTTAATTATTGTATTGTTTTAAAGTGGTTTTTTTGCAGTATAAATAAGATATGTGCAGTGTGCATAGGAATTCATTCATGTTTTTTTTTTCAAATTATAATCCAGCCCTACAACAGTTTGAGGGACTGTGATGTGGCCCTCTGTTTAAAAAGTTTGAGGATCCCTGATTTTACCCATTGTGCCACCGGTGGTTCCATTACTTTGGATAATCATTACATATTTGAAAGCTTGAAATACAACACTGACATTTTTTCCCCTTCTGCTTCCCTCATTCCCTGCAAATTCTAGTTGGCCAATTCTACTTCTTGATTCGAAAGCGAATCCACCTGAGGCCAGAGGATGCCCTTTTCTTCTTTGTCAACAACACCATTCCTCCCACCAGTGCTACTATGGGACAGCTGTATGAGGTAAATGAAAGATCTCTCTCCTTCCAAGAGGTAGTATTATTAGAACTGTACCTATGATCACCATTTGCCAGAATATTGCATGAGACCTGCCCAGGGATGGCATCATTTTCAGGTAGCTGTCAATCCTGTCTTCCCTAACTCTCATTGTCTATAGTCAAGCATAAATGCAGAATATACTAGAAGGTCCCTTTTTTGTCTGTCTGGTCAATATTTCAATTCCCACATACCTTGTACTCTTCTCTTAGGGCCCATCCAGGCAGCACCTTTATTGCGGGAACTCCTGCAATAAAGGAGGGGCTGTCCAGACAATGTTCTGGACAGTCCCACATTACTTCGCTACAAACCAGGAAAACCCTGGTTTGTAGTGAATTAATTTGATAGTGGATTTATTCTGGACCTTCTTTGAAGGTGCGGGATAAATCCACTATCTCTGGTGTCTGGACTGTAGTCCAGACACCATTTCCACCGTTTACTGGGCACGTGCTTTCTGGGGTGGGTATGGACCAGGCCCCCAGAAATATCCACTTTTTTAATGCGGATGCTTCTGGGACAAGGGCTTGTCTGGATCTGGCCTTAGTGCCCTCTGTAAATGTTGATGCTTCATCTTTTGATGCTAACTGAGGAAGGACTATGATATCCAGCATATAATTGGGCTCTTGGGTTGGCCTGGCGTGATTGAAATACATTCTTAATGCAGTAATGGATTGTTCCTCACTGACATTTCAGAATGTTATTCACATAGGTGTTACTTGAGTTCTGTTCTGGTATCCCTTAGAGCTCTTGTGATTTATGGTTTCTTGTTGCTAAAACTAAAGGGTTGGAAATCAGGTTTTTAAAATGCTAGGGTGGAGCTAGAAGGCAACAGGAGCATCACATGTTCCAAATTAGTTCCTATTTTTAATCTTAAGGCACCTATCTTGCTGTGGAGATATAAAGGAGGATAAGACTGAAAATTGCAGTTCTTAGTAGCTGAGAATATGCTCTAGCCACCCACTGTTTTGCAGCCTAGGAGGCTGTCTGTAATGTCATCTGTCATGCCTTTATGTTTCTCATACAACCAGAATTCAGGTTCACTTAGTGAAACTAATTGGTTTCAGTAATAGTAATTGTAGTAGAATCAAGAAAGACAACACAGGAGATTCATTTCTACAATGTGTCCTTATCTTACAGAATTCTCTACCACAGATGTGTTGATTGCTATTAGTTTAGATGCCTTCAAAGATGAGGATACTGGTATTTGTGTCTGGTAAATTGAAGGACACATTTCCCTATGTTTACAAGGACTAAAGTTCAGAATGCTCAGTGCTGGGTCAAGCAAGAGAAGAATGGCTTTCATCTTCAAGTTTCCCTGTTTGAGTTTGCTAGAAATATCTGGCTATTCAGAGAGTGCTTCACTTGGCCCAGCAGGAAACTCCTTATTTGATGGCATGAAGAGGGGAAAAACACACATAAATGAGAGGTTACACTAAAATACTTGCAGGAAACAGTAAATATTATAGAGGTTCTGGCATCCATTTTCTTTGTGGAACTATGTGAGGAGGAGGAGGAGGAGGAGGAGGAGGAGGAGGAGGAGGAGGAAAATAATTAACATTTGTGCTTCATACGTTTCATGGCAGATGTATATGAGAAACATATGCCCTCACTACTCTCTGTGGGGTTTTTTTTTAACCATAAGGGGAAATAATCACTTTTGGGCAAAACAGATTAACTAAGTTTGTGGAGAAGGCAAGATCAGAATGTGGACTACTAGTTCTCAGTTGTTTTTTTTAACCATGAAACTCACTCTTAGGACTTCGATATAGATTAAAAGACAGGCAGATTGCTCACTACTGTGTAAGCCAGTAACCTTGCTTTCAAAGTCTTGACAGTCTGAAAGCAGGCTGTTTAAAAAAAAAGTCCCAAGGGTTGCTAATTCATATAAGAATAGAGATACCTTGAATTGTATTAATAAGGAGGTAATGCCATGAACATTAATCTATGAGGAATCCTATAAAGTGATTACACATATTCTGAAGGAGGATAGTTGAGGCAGCCTAGTTAATAATTATCTCCCTTGGCTGCCTAAAGAAGGGTGTTTTCTATTATTAACCAAACAAGAAGGTGTCATCCTGCAGGGTAAGTTATTAAGGTCACTTCCTAGAGATGATTAGAATCAACTTCTGAAGTGAAGTCACTGGCTTGCTAGTAGGATCAGTCAGTTAATAGACTGGCTCATTCAAAGCCTTCCTCCAAACCCAGTTAATCATGTCTGAGATGTGGTGCTGTGCCAACCCTGACCTTTTCCAAAAGCAATGTCAGTAGGTTGTACTAAACACACATTCTAGTACGGTAGACATAGACCTGTCCAGGCCGGCCCCCCAGTTCCTAGCCTGGGATGCCCACAAATGCTCGCCCTGCCCTATGGTTCCTGCTGAAATCCATCCTCTACCCTTGGATTTGGGTCATAAGCCTACAGGTGACTTTGATGTGGACACATTTATTTTCTAATTAGTGTATCTTCCCGGTGTTGCCTGGATATCATTGGGACTGCTGCCCACCTTTCTCCAGCTCAGAAAAGGACTACCTCACAATGTCTCCATGGCAATGATGGGCAAGCTCTCTTTGTATCTCTTTCCTTCCTACCTCCCTTCTCCTCATACACAGTCACCTTTCTTTCTCAGTGATATCACGGAAGGTGACTTCATCTAGCAGCAGCCAATTCTTCATGTAGCAACAGCCAATCCAGTGACATCACAGAAAGCCACTTCACCTAACAACACCTTTGTGGTACAAACATGCATTGGACTCTTATAGTAAGAGATTAGTTCCTTTAGTGTGACACTCTTATGTTCTGGACTTAAGAAAGCCAGTCAGTGGGTTGCTGTGTATTTTTCAGACTGTATGGTAGCATTCTTTCTTGATGTTTCTCCTGCATCTGTGGTCGGCATCTCCAGAGGTTCTGTTGGCAATTAAGCATGTGGGGTGTGTGTGTGTGTATGTATGTGTGTGTGTGTGTGTGTATACATACATACATCTGTCCAGGGTGGGAGAAAAAATCCTTACCTGATCAGTTTAAGGCTCACCGTGATCTCTAACCTCCACAGTAGTGGTGGACTCATTAAGATGGTCCGCCCCAGGAGACTTATGGATCCAGATGGACTCCTGAGGTCTCTTGGGGATCTTCCTGTCCTGGAGACTGACAGTCCTGTTGACGCTCTGGTTGATTGCTATAATAGCGAGATGTCTAGGGCGATTGACACGATCGCTCCCAAACATCCCCTCTCGTTGCATAGAGTTACACCAACTCCTTGGTTCACTGAGGAGCTGGCTGTGATGAAGCATAGGAGGAGGAGTTCAGAGTGCATATGGAGGAAAACTTGTGCTGTCTCTGACCGAGCACGGGCTAAAGCCGCTATTAGGGCTTACTCCGCGGCTTTGTGGGCAGCCAAGAAAGCTTTCTCTACTGCCTGCATAGCGTCTTCATCTAATAGACCAACAGAGTTGTTCTGCATTGTTGGGGAGCTCTTCCACCCACCTGAGGTGGGGGAGATCCCCGAGGACTCGGCAACTCAGTGCAGTGATTTCACGCACCATTTTGAAGACAAAGTCGCTCAGATATGTTCCAAATTGGATACCAGTTTAAGTGCAATGCCAGATGAGGTAACCGAGACACCTGTCTGATCAATCTTATGGGATTCTTTTCATCTTGTTCTACCTGATGATGTGGACGGGATGCTTGGGGCTGTGAGAGCGACCACTTGTGCCCTGGACCCTTGCCCTTCCTGGCTAGTTAAGCTGGCCAGAGATGTGTTGTTAGATTGGTTTGCGTCTATAATAAATGTTTCGTTGGTCCAAGAGAAATTCCCATCCTGCCTTTAGCAGGCGGTAGTAAAAACCAATACTGAAGAAGACCTCCCTTGACTCTTCTGTGCTTAACGACTACAGACCAATTTCAATCCTCCCTTTTCTGGCGAAGGTGCTAGAGCAGGTGGTCACCTCTCAGCTTCAGGGATTCCTAGATAACACTGTTTTTCTAGATCAGTTGCAGTCTGGTTTCAGGCCTGGGCACAGTACCAAGATGGCTTTGGTCGCCTTGGTGGATGATTTCCGCAGGGAACTGGACAGGGGGAGTGTGACCCTGCTGGTTCACTTGGAAAATCTCAGCGGCTTTCGATATCGTCAGTCATGGTATCCTTCTGGATCGGCTCACTGGGATGGGACTTGGGGGCACGGTTCTGCTGTGGCTCTAGTCCCAGTTGGTGAAGCTGGGGGACACCTGCTTGGACCACTAGCCATTGACCTGGGGGGTTCTGCAAGGCTCCATTCTCTCCCCTATGCTCTTCAACATCTATATGAAACCTCTAGGAGAGGTCATCTGGAGTTTTGGAGTTTGGTGCCATCTCTACTTAGATGACACCCAACTCTACTACTCTTTTCTATCAGAATCCAAGGAAGCCCCTCAGATGCTGGACCAGTGCCTGGCTGCTGTGACAATATGGATGAGGGCGAACAAGCTGACAAGACAGAGGTCCTCCAGGTCAGTCGTACATCTGACTGGAGTATAGGATAGCAACCTGTGTTTGACAGGCTTGTACTCCTCCTGAAGACACAGGTCCGCAGTTTGGAGGTCCTCCTGGATTCAGCGCTGACACTTGATGCTCAGGTGTCGGGGTGGCTGGGAAGGCTTTCACATAATTAAAACTTGTGTGCCAGCTGCGACTATACCTTGTGAAGTCTTATCTGACCATGGTGGTCCATGACTTAGTTACTTCTAGATTGGACTATTGCAATGCACTCTAAGTGCGGCTACTCTTGAAGACTGCCCAGAAACTTCAATTGGTCCAACGTTTGACTGCCAGATTACTAACTGAAGTGAATTACAGGGAGCGGTTTATCCCCCCCCCCCCCCATTTAAGGAGCTCCATTGGTTGCCATTCATCTTCCGATCCCAATTCAAAGTGCAGGTTATCACCTACAATATTCCATATTTTGTCTGTCCCAACTACAGTTCCGTCCTCATG